TAAACACATTTTTATTCATAACTTCTGTTTGAAAAACACTAGAGACTTCCGGTTTGCGGCATTCTTTTCCAAATTTATTGTAGAATATGACACTTCAATAAAAATATGTCATTAAATTCAAAATTCTTGAGGAATCATCAATAATTGGTAACAATTACGAAAAGCGACATCTGGTGGTTTGTTGAGGAATTAGCCAGAATATTTAAAATCGTATTTTTATTCTACCTTAAATTACCTATCAAACGATCAATAGTTTATTCAAATCAGATAAGACAAACCGAAGTTATGGTGATTTTTGAATACCGTTTTTGTTTTGTTTTTGTTGTCGTTGTTTGGAGAGTTAGAACAAAAAATGTTATATTGTGGCCTACTTTTTTATATTGATTGAAATAAACGAAAATTGCATAAAAATATAAGACACATTTGCGAACGGCAGCTCTTCGCCAGAGAACAGATAAGTGGATTCGTTGTGATTGCAGATAGTTAAATTTCAAGTTCAGAGGGCGCCACTCAATTTACAAAACAATTACTGATACTTGGATAATTGAGAAAACCAATTAGTTGGATACTTACAGTCTTTTCCAAAACTTAATCCTGAAATAGAAATATGAAAAAATCTTCTCAAATGGCAGTGTCAACACAAATAGATGAATAAAACCATATCAAATTTCAGACCTATTTATTATCACCATAACAGACAGGGTTTATGAAGACCAGTGTAGAGACCAAATGAGTGTCAGAATATGTAGCATATGTTATCATGAAATATCTCAAAGTAATATGACCGTAAAATATCATAACCATAAATTGTCATAACCATGAAATGATTGTTTCTAGGGGAATTCAAAATTATTGTACAAAATCAAAACTTATCAACCTACACCATGACAATTACCACCTCTTTATATGACTAGCGTTTAGGTATAGCAATCATCATATTCCAACTATAAAATGGGATGTATAAATCCCAAAAAAATTGATTAAACAATAATCTGTAAAAAACCTGAAACCGCTGTCACATAGTACTATGGGAGAGCTTCACAAGAGCTTCATACATGTTAAATATGGTTATGATCAAAATGTTGAAATATTAAATTCAGATTTAAAAAAAAATGATGGAATAAAAAAACCTGGTCTATTGGAGGGTCCTCTCCAATGGTCTAATCACCCCTATCCAAGGTCCACCATGGTGAGTAGGCATGCTTGAGAAGATGAAGATGGAGACAGGAACGAAGACAGGAACAAAGAAGTTGATGGACCTCCACAGTCCACAGTAGGGCTCAGTGGTGTGGCTCAGCCGGTCAGCTTGACCGGTTACTACTGGGCTTGATCTGGGCCACCTGTCGACTCTGGTCAGGATAAAATGAGCGACCTGGTCCTCTTGGGAATCATGACCAAGGTCGAGAGATTATCCCCTCAGCTGTTCGCTACTAGAAGCCAAAGGCAGCTAAGCCATACCCTAACACCCTTCTGAGAAGGGAGGAAGGACTTGAAGAACAATTAGTTTGGAGTCTTCATACGCTGAAAAAAGCCGGCTGCAGGGCTTCCTGGGGACATCAGGCAGTCTCCGAAAAGTGGGAACAAATCCTACACAGGTCCATGGCCAGAATCACTGATGTTTTTGAACAATTTCAAAAAAATTTCAAATCCCCCGAAGGGTTTCTACGGATTATACCGAGAAAAGAAAAAATGCTCAAACTGGCTCAAGTGCACACCATGACGGTCGCCGAGAAAAAGCCTCGAGATAGCTACCGGAAATCTCCTCCTAAAATTCCCTATCTAAACTTATCTTATCTAAAAAAGTGCTTCCTGCCAAAATTCAGCGCCAAATATGAAATCCTATTATTCCATTGGTCAGAAGAAAAACACAAGAATTACTAGGTCCAAACTAACAGAAGAAGTGCCGAAGAAAGAAAAGAAAAAGAAGAGTCTTCTTTTTCTTCGGTAGTACTATGTCACAACATTGTAAGATTGTGCTTAAGTCCTACTCACAGAAGATGAGTGACATACTGGACAATGACGTTTGGATGACAATATTATAACCCTAAATAAATTCCAGAAAATAAAGAAAATAATTCTTCCAACACCGAAAATACCATTTCAGATCGAAAAATCACCTTGAATAATCCCTGAAATAAACCAGCGACATGGGCTTTATCACACCTGCGAACACACTGGTAAGTCGTTTGTTTACTCTCGGAAGGGACAACAACATTGAACTATTTCTTCGAATTCTAGGCCTCTAGGATCAGAACGCCAGAAATCAAAGACTCCTGCAGCTTATATCATCACCTCCCATCGGCACATAGAAATTCAGAAGACATTACTAATCATGACTGTTATTATTTCTATGCTGTTATTCAAAACTGTGTGATAAAGTGGTTCATTAAGAGTTACATTCAAGTACTTCAGGATTATTTACGAAGTATCAGACTGAATGTTCTCTGTAAGTATGACTTCTTGTCTAGATCTGAAATGTTAATATTTACAAAATGGTAATGTATGAAACAAAAAAATGAAAATGATTCTTTGCAACTCTAAATGTTGCACTAAAGCAAATTCGCTTGAATTTTCATGCAAACGATACTAAAAATTATTTTGTAGCAATTTCAAATGCTACAATATAAAAGTTCTATGTATTGACTAGAAGATGCAGAAAACATTGAAAAATATCTATGGTTGAATTTGACTTTTTCAAGAAAAAGGAGTTTTTAAATTTTCAATCTGTATTACGCCACCTAGCGGTCATTTTAGGAACTCAAAATATTTTAGTTGTATTTTTCTTGATTGCTTTACATAAGATAGTTTCTTTCCTAAAACTGTGGGACCATTAGTTTCTGGGATTAAGCCGGTCGATAGGCTTAATGGGACACCCGGTATGCACTGACTAAAAGTAAATGATTACTCACCCAATGTTTTTTTTTTGTGTCATGATTTGCATACCGTCTTCTCACATTTCTCGATGGAATTCTATATCTTCGAGATATTTCGTTGATCCAAGCTATGCCCTTCCTCATATCATCCAGGGGCATCCATACTCAAGGAAATTGAGGCATCTATTCTTTTTAGGATAGATAGATGCCTTCTTGAATGAACAAAATCTGGTGATTACCTAACTAAATTGAATAGGTACTATGATGAATATCTGATTCAGCAAACTATCTAAAAAAACATTTGCTCACTTCGAGAAAATCGAAAGTTATAAGCACTCCATAATCATATATAAACAAATTCATTGATTTTGGCGATGGCGATCACGAAATGAATCTCACACACGTCTCAACAGCTCAGCTGCCCAGCTCACACTGGCCAAAAGGGACGTGTACTATGATTTCAAGACCAAACAACGATCGTATCCATTTGCAAGTATCAACACGAATAAGTGAGTCATCTATTCTCCCAGTAGTCCGGCGGGTAAGAGAATCCACCTTGCATTTCATGTTCAGAAGGTGACACGTGGCTTAAATTGTTCCTTAGACCCTATTCTTCGATATGAGAAAAGTTGCCACGGTCCCACCCCCTGCAGACCCCCTTATTTAGGCATGTTTGCCTACCTTCAGGGGCAAAACGCCCTTTTCCTCATTTCTCGCGTAATAATGGTCGTAGATGTCTACTTTTTTCACACATTTGAAGTGTTTTGAGTGCCCAAGGCTGACAAACGTTTATAAAAGGCCCACGGCCACACATTTCAGAATGGCGCCGTCCGAAATCGAAAAATTTGAACATTTTCAAAGAAACAAAAAAGAGGTAACATAGTATCGTGACGGGTGTCGTTTCATATGTTTTCGGGGCGTCTGATTACGAAAATAAAAGTTAAAATCCATCCTGAGAAGTCATTGACGGAGGGTGCATTATATTTATAGAATTTATGGGGTACAGAGTTGGCAGGTACACTTGCACAGCTCGCAACATTTGAGACCGTTTTTCAGGCATTTGCAGCGGGCCGGTACGCACCCCTTTTGACAGGAACATTTAATTAGTGCCTCACAAGCTTCAGATGCAACAGGAATCGTGCGCCACACAGGTTCCTAACCCTCTTCACATTTTTTCCAGCCAAAGTCCGCTGGGTCGGGAAAGTTTTGTTCACGCTCCAGAGATTGTCTCCACACTTGACTCTGAATGGAAGCTCTCTTAGCGTGTTGCTCCAGAGCGTCTCTTGTTGGTGGAATGGATTCCAGCTGACGGTCGCTCTTTGTGAACAACACCCTCCGGCACTCGTTCACAGTCTCGCAAGACGCAGTCCTGGAATTAGAATACGTAAATTAATATTACTTTCGTATATTATACGTCATTTTTCTATATTTTACGTTCGAGGAGAGTTTTGTTATTTTACCTGGTGTAGGTTGAAACAACAAATACTTCTAAATTGCCCATAGCCTGAACAACTGTCCCGTCTTGAAGAGCTTCAAATCCATCTGTTGCTCCAGGATATTTCAGCCAAGCGTTTACGGCTGTGAGTTTTCCGATTCCTTTGGAATAGGACACTGTGTCGCAGCCGGTAAAAGCATGGAAACCCAGCAACGATTCTGACTTTTCAGGACCTAAGTACATAAATTAAAGAGAGAATTAATGAAAGTGGTTCGGTAACGACGAATCCTTGCAACAAAGACCTATCTGTGTTGGAATTGCCACACAGATAGGTCTTTGTTGCCCGGATTCGTCGAAAAGCAGCTATTATCTTTTTGTTCACCCACCTAGAACATTGGCAATTTCGTGCGCAGCCAGAAATTTGGAATGCTTGCCCATGCCAAAATGCACCCATAGCTCTTGAAGCTGAGGCAACTGCTGAATACAGGATACTGCTATGACAAGAACATCCGTGTCACATGTCCTAATCGTCACTTTCTCACAGCCATGGGCCACTGCATCTGTCAGGTGGACAAATAAGCGTGTGTCTGCCTCCTCGTGGTTGCATGGGGCCATGGAGGAGCAATCAGCACCGAATGGGCTGCTGACGACAGAGTCCTCTAAAGTTGCAAAAAAAGTTTTTCCGGGAATGTTTAAATGCTTTCAGCAAGAAGTTCAAACAAGGCTGTCTTGTTGTCGGCATGTCGAAGGAAATTCTCCCATCCTTCAGGCACTTTGGTGGACAATGTCACTCGGATTCTTGATCCCCCTCCGCGCTTCTGACGTGTCCCATATTTGAGACTATTTTCAAGGTACCTAGAAATAAAAATGAAATGAAAACAGTCTTATTAAAATCAGGTTATTTTGTGACAATTTTGCTAAAAAGAAAAAAGTATTGCACAAACCTGTCAAAGACTAAATCCAACCGATTCACTGTAGCAGATTCCTTTCTAACATAGTTGAGAGATATGTTGCTTATATAATCGCCAAAAGTGACAGGAGTTCCTGGTTCCAACATGTGCACAATCACTGCTCCGTCTAGTATTTTTGCTCGTACGATGGGCACACTATCAGCGGTGCACTCTTCAGACAAGTTAGACAGGTACTTGGTAAGGTCTGATTTCGAGTCACTAGTGCGCAATTTCCCCATAACAGAAATAGATGGAGGGTATTCCTGATTTTCATGAGAGAAAAATTCTCCAAGATCATTTGGCCTGTTAGCGCTAGTGGCGATGTATAACCTTCTAAACAAGCTGCAGTCATTTTTTGAAGCAGTCACTTGGGATTTCAGATTCAAATTTGTATTTTTTTTCACTCCGGTCTTGAACAGAGGGAATTTGTTCAATTTGATTGGATCCTTCAATGAAACTTTGTTACTTTCGAGCCGTTCAGAAACAAAATTCTGATACTGTGTCACACCACAGTCCTCTATGGTGAAAACAGTATCCTTAGAGCTTGAAGGGCAAATTTTTTTGGACTCTAAATCGTACAAATCTTCATTTTCTTCTAGAAAGGGGTTACCCAAATCGGTCATCACGCTTTCTAGAGCCTTTTTATGAGTTAAAAAGGCTGTTTGAGCTGCTTCATTGGCATTGTGATGGTTGTTTGGGTCGCCCTTTTTCTCAGTATTGTTAAATGATGCATCCTCAAACTTGGAAACCATGTTGGCCATTTCTGGTCCTGACAGCACAAACTTCCTCATCGCCTCGGGATTCTCTGTTAACCCGATCATACCTAAAAAGAAAAGACGAAAAAACAGTTACAAACGTACTTTTCGTACGTACGTAGAAAATTTGAGGGATTTCATTATATTTATTTTTATTGTTGCTTAGCAGCTTACCTCCGTCGTTTTTCAGCAGTCCGTTCATCTGCTCATGTGCGTGATCAAGAGCAATGGCCGAGAATGAATTGCAGCTCTTTCTTGTCACAAAGTGACCTGCTTGTAATTCCTTGTACAGAGCAGGATTATCCTTCTCTAAGGCGAGGAGGTCCTTAATATGGACTGGTAGCCACCTGGCATAGTTTGTATGGTCAAGTGCAAAAAACCAAGAGGCAAGTTTGGGTAAAACTTTCATGTACAAAGAGAAATCAGCTGTCCTCTCTGCGCGCACAAACTCCAACGAAAGCAATTCTAGATTCAAAACAATATCCCAGTATTTAAACTGAGGAATACTTTTGTCAGCCTTGGGCACTCAGAACACTTCAAATGTGTAAAAAAAGTAGACATCTACGACGTTTATCACGCGAGAAATGAGGAAAAGGGCGTTTTGCCCCTGAAGGAAGGCAACCATGCCTAAATGAGGGGTCTGCAGGGGGTGGGACCGTGGCAACATTTCTCATATCAAAGAATACGGTCTAAGGAACAATTTAAGCCATGTGTCACCTTTTGAACATGAAATGCAAGGTGGGGTCTATTCCTGTAGGTTACCGTCCGGACTACAGGGCATCTACCCCAATTTTACTCTCATTCATATTCGCAACTGTGAGTAGAAGGAAGTGCTGAAATTCATCAAATTAGTAGGTTTGTTTATTTCGAAGGACCAATTTTATCGGCCGTCCCTCCATTCCATATCCATCTGAAATCATTGGCAATTGAACATTTCGATCTAGCCCGTTTAACAAAAAATTGCATTTCAGAATCCAGACGACTTCATAGCCCCTATCAATGCGAAGCGACCTGAACTCCCCCATTGGGATCCAGCTTTCTTGGGCACACCTAGAAAACTCCAATTCGATTATCCTCAACCAGCTGGCCAGGATGATGCGTAAGTACAATGGAGTTCTCCGTTCACTTATTTATTTTGAAGTTACTGCGACAGCAAATAGCTCTGTAAGACGGTCACGAAGAAGACATCCTCGTGTAAAATTCAAGTAGTCGGTTTACCTACGGTTTTATATGATTTTGGGGGTGCTGAATCTGAATATAGAGTTTGAGAACATGATTTTCTGGAGCGTTCTGATATATCCGAAAAAATCATCCAAATCCTCGCAGTTTTTTGCCCGTAATTCGAAAACAATAAATTTTAGCGGAAATAAATGTTGATAACAACATACAAAATACGAAACTTCCGGCAACTTAGGCCGGTAAACGTACAATCTCAAGGAACAGCGATGTGTCCTCTCTCGCGGATCTCAGCCAAGTCCCATTTTTCCCGCGCCCGTCACGCTTTGAGTCTCCTTCGCGAGTACCCCGATGTTTGAGGGCGCGAACCGCACTTAAACCACACATTATGGCGGGTTATTCAAACTGAACCACCACATCGCCCCCTACTTAAAGTAGGTAACAACTACATTTAAGTAAACACAAGAACACGTCATAAGGATTCGGTCATTTTATATCTATATATGTATGTTCAATGAGACGCATTCAAGAAGTGAATTCGGCAGGTAGAACCTTGTATGGATTTGAATTTATCACATTCTGCTTGGATAATTCTCTTCCATTCTCATCCCCAACAACATACGAATTTGGACCAGCTTGACGGATGACGCAAAATGGACCTTCATATAAAAGGAAAAATTTCTTGATCGTTTTATCTACCGCGGAAGACTGATAATGTGTCCTAACTAACACCATGTCTCCTTCCCTAAATATAATCGGATGTATTTTGGCGTTATCTTCGTCAGCTCGTCGTTGCGCCTTTGTGTTTAAATACTATGAGCTAATTCCCAAACACTCTCCAAAGGTGGTGATTGCTCCTGATCAGCCGGAAAATTGATAAGTTTTCGAATGGGATTCTGCTGAACCTCCCCTTTTTGTAGGTATGTCGCTGAAAAGTTAGTTGATGAATTAATAACGGAATCCAAGCATTCTTCTACCTACTCCAACATATTTGGCCATTTTGTGTGCTTTTCATAGCAATACAGGCACAAAAGACGACCTATCTCCTTATTGTATCTCTCAGTGAGATTTCCCTGGGGAAAATGAACTGAAATTGATTAGGCCTCAATACCCTGTTCCTCCAAAGTATTTTTCCAAAGAGGACTAGTTAACTGCGTAACATTGTCACTTAAGATACATGCCGGTTTCTGAATATGAGGAACATAGTGTTGAAATATTTTATTTGGAATAGCTCGTGATGTAGCTTTACGTAATGCATATAATTCAACATATTTGGAAAACGCATCCACCATCACCAATAATTGTGTCACTTTACCCCTACCCTCGGGTAAAGGTCCTATTGAATCTAGACATACCAGCTGCCCGAGTGTGTCCACTACTACCGAATTCATCAACCCTATACTTGCCAGAGACGTTTTGATCTTCTGACATAAGTCACAAGCTGCAATAATATGCCTAATGTGCTTTTGCTTTCGAGGCCAGTTGAAAGTTTGACGCATATAAATATATGTTTTTATTTTTCCAAAATGACCCACGGATTCATGATGTTGTAATGTCCTGTCTTCAATTAGATCGTAGTTCGAGTTATCGAAACATGTTCAGGAGTGCAGGGAAGAACAGCAGAAGATAGTTCACTTTTACTGGTTTATTATAGAATAGTTATTAGTTCTTTCAGAGTTCAAACCGGAATGTTCTCTGTAACTACAATACCTAATTGATAACCTACCTATTAGTATAAACAATAAATTGATGAATAATCTAACTATCGTAACACTTTCGGAAAAGCTGTGTTGGACTGTTTCGAAATGGTACCTGATTTCAATGATATAATTAAACAATATATTATAAACATCCACTACAATGTGATAAAATTATTCCTTCCATTTGGTTCTTCGGAACACATAACTTGAACCCTGGACAACCACTATCACCTCTTTCAAATAATAACCCCTCATATATTACAAACCAATTCCATAAGAATTATAACACTGCTTTGAAATCCCTCTGAAAATTTTCCCTCATCTAATTTTCCTCTAATTGATCAGCTCGTGAGCTCTCAAAATGCTTTTTCAAATTATTAAAGTCATTACTAAGTTTCACCAACGACATCTGTACCTTACTGGCTCGACTCGGATGAACTGTTGAAACCTGTTTCTCTGGGAAACGCGACAAAATATCCGCTACAATATTTTATGACCCCTTACAATATTCAATTCGTAAATCGAATTCTTGCATAAACATGATCCATCGCGAAAGCCGCGCAGAACGTAGCTTACATGTTAACAAGAAGCTGAGAGACTTGTGGTCCAAAATTATAACTAAATCGCGCCCCAAAATTAGAGTACGCCACTGTCACAAACAATGAATAATATCCAGCGCCTCTTTTTCGGTGGTTGTATAGTTTAATTGACTTCCCTCAGAAGTAGAGCTACTATAAGCTATCACCTGGCGTTCATTTATATCAGATTTCTGAAATAAGCTACCCCCTAAAGCAAAGTTGGAGCTGTCGCATTGGATATAAAACGTTTAACTCACGTCCGGGTGCACCATAAGAGAAACATTAAGGAACGCTTCCTTAATATCGCGAAATGCTTCAATTTCATCTATACCCCAACACCATTTCTCATTTTTTTTTAATAGACGCAAAAGAGGAAGTGAAATATTTACATAATTTTTACAAAACTTTTGTTCATAATTAACGAAACCGAGGAAACCCCTTAATTAATGCAAGTTGCGAGGTGTGGGAAAATTTTCTATGCAAGAAATTCTACTCTTATCAATCGAGACCCCTTCTGGTGAAATAACGTGACCGAAAAATAGAACCCCTCTTCTTATAAATTTCGATTTCCTCAGCTTCACGGTGAGACCTGCCGATTTTGATTTAGAAAGAACGGTATTTAAATTTTGAAAATGAGTCGAAATCTCTTCCGAATTAATGATTGAATCGTACATAAATGCAAGTTAACACGTCACACTCGTCACCCAAAACCCTTCATACACCTTATTGAGCTTGCCATAGAAGTACTCAGGCCGAGCGGCAGTCTATTGAAAGTAAACGTCTCTCCCTCGTATATAAATCCCACATATTTTGTTTGACTGGTTCGAATAGGAATTCGCCAAAACGAGGCTGTCGAATCGATCGTACTGAACACCTGACCCTTCTCAAATTCAAACAGTAGTCCATTCGGTTTTGACGGATTAATAAAATCCTTTTTTATGCGTGAGTTCGATAACCTCGCATCTAAACATACCCGAACCCTTTTGTCCTTTTTTGTCACACAAACTAATGAAGAAACAAATTCTGTTTTTTCTCTCTTTATTATTCCCCAGTTCAACATTTCTTGAATTTGAGATGCGACCTCTTCACGATATTTGAATAAAATCGGATATAATGGCGCGTTGAAAGCATTATAGTCATTCAACTCAATCTAGTGCTCATAACCTAGAACTCGCCTAGGACATTATGAAAAAACAGTCAGGTGATTTTTCAAAAGTTGCAATAATTCCTCCTTTTCATTTTCCTTGAGATTAGAATCGTGAACCGCTGCTTCCAGATCACTAATATTATACTGATGTAGTTTTGGTAAAACCATAGTCATATCAGAAGTTTTGATACCTGACAATGAAACATCATCCCCCAACCCCTGACGGCTCTGACTGACACAAATTGATATGCATTGCCACATTATTGGATTGAAACGAAATATTTTCACTATAAACCTTGTCCTCATATTTAAAACGTGAAACTGATTTGTCGAAATCTACTATTGATCTATATTTAAACATCCAATTGGACCCCAAAATAACATTACAATTCAAATTTGGTACCACCAGACAAGCGACATCCATGTTATGGTTAGCAATAGCCAGTGACAATAATATTTGTAGCTTAATCCTCTGAGTGCGACCTTCCACCGCAACAAATATGGTAACATTGGTTACTGGTAAAACTGGGATATCCATATTACTCTTTTTCAGATGTTGATAGAATTTTTCCGATATCACACAAACATCAGATCCGCTATCCAAGAGTGCGTCCATTTTCTGTGTTCCTATCATAATCTCAACAGAAGGTGAAACCATTTCAACCTCTTCTGGCTCACTATCAGACTCCGTTAACAAACTTTCTGGTTCCTAGTTAAAAGAAGTAATATAATTCACATAATTATTTTGATTCGAATTCGAATTGTGGTTAACTGAAGAATTTCGCGTTATAGGATTGTCATCCCGCTGCAATCCTTGATTACCTGAATAATTACCTCTACGCGCATAATTATTGTTATCTCGTACGCCCCTGTTATTATTATTATTCGCCGACTCTTGTCTAGAATACGTATGGTCAATTTTCCATAAATACTCCTCAACTGTA